CCACGCTTCACTTGATAATTTAATTAAAAGGCCCAATCCAGAAATTCTGTCCTTGAGCTCTTTGGGGAGGACGGCACATTTATCTTCACTGCTTTATCCCCTTAAAATGGTGAAAGGGAGGAGGTAGTTTGGATTTTAAACGTCAGCTTGCTGTGCCGTTTGGGGCCATCGGTTGTTGAATTGCCCAGCCACAACCAAGACAGGTTTTTCACTGGAAACACAAACTAAAGTCAGAGCAGTTCTAAGGCAGTGCAGTGAAAAGTGGCCATCTTTACCTGCAGTGCTGCAGTCCCAATCACTTGTGAAAATGCGATTGATTGTTTTGCGCTGCCGGAGCCCATGTGGCGGCCTTGGGCAGATCTTCCGCTTGATTGTTATGTTTCGGGCTTTGATTGACCCTCCCTCCCTCACATTCCTCCCAGACAAGCACGGCTGCGCTCCCAGGATGCATCCAGGAGTGAGCTGCTCCCTCTTCACATGTCTGTGGCACCCAGAGACTCTGCTGCGATGTCGGGCAACAGTGTACGACCTCAGGATCTTTGGCATCTGTTAACATCTGAGCATTGGGCATAGTGCATAGAAAGACATCCCACCTCAGCAAATGGCAGGTGTGTCATAACCCCCCCCCCAGCACAGTCAGTGCAGGTGGGAAACTCACCATCAGCCCCATCGCTGAAGTCTTGTCTAGAAGACAGGTCTGTCTTTGTGAGTCATACTGATCAAAACTGCTCTCATACCAGTGTTATCTGATTTGATGATTTTGTACCCAAATAAATATATGTGCCTGTAAACAAGACAGCAAGCCAAGAGGGACAGTAGGAGACGGAGTAATTGGAATTACTATTGCAGGGTGGATGAAATGTACTCTGAGCAGCCAAACCGATGAGAGACGCCCTAATGAGGCCTCATGACTGCTTCTTGGCTGTGGCCTTAGCAGGCTAAATATTGCAGCTTTCTGCTTTTATACCAGGCAGTGGCTGGGTGGAGTCAACCACACCTCTCCTGCTTTGTAAGAAGGGTGGACATTGGACCGACTGAGGTGGGCATTGCTTCTCTCTGGCGAATCAGAACGGCCGTGTGGGTTTTGGGTGATAAGAGCAAAACTATAAGTGCATTAATCATGTAAATGGGCAGAAAATAGGCATGACGCTGAAATATGACTGTCACTGTAATGTAATTCTGTTGTTCAGACAGTCCGGTCCTCATAAATACCGTGTTTGTATTATTAAGAATAATCATTTGTGCTGCTCTATCAAACTTCTGCGGTAAAATTAAATGAAAGCAAAACCGATTAATTGAAAATGCTGGGAAAACAGGATGCAAGACAGAATTAAAGAATGACTGAATCATTTAAACATAGCATGCATTCATTTGGATCGTTGTAAATTCATGTAGTTAAAATTGATAGGAACATGGCTTGAGTCAGGCTGAACTTAATTTGTGCATATTAACCTGACCAGTGTCCATCCTACAGATGGTCCATATGGAAGGAGGTTTACGGGGGGAGGGGCGGCTTTTGTCCACCTTTTCGTGCCCCCTTTCGAACGACACACCTTGTTAAACGCCATTATTTGAAACGTTCGAGCTGCTTTCGGTGTTCACTCAACTGTAAGGAGAATCAGGAGCAGAATCAGAAAAAACTTTTTGATCCCGAAGCGAAATTGCTTCAGCTACAACTGCACAGATAGACAGACACGAGTATAGATACAATGAACACTTTATCACGAAATTGGTGTTATATCACAAAACAAAAACCCAAAATAAGCAAAATAAAATATAAAGATTTAGCAAGCGTCAAATAAACTATAACATCATAATAATATGATTGGTATATGCAATATTGGTAATGCACATAGTGACAAGATAATCCATATTCTGCGAAACCGAAAAAATACTGCACAAGTTGGCAAACCGCTTTTTGTATCATCAATGTGATTTACGTCCGTTTTCAGTTCTGAGTGAAACTTAAATGTGCCTCTAATGATGTAGAACTAAGAGATAGCCTATATAATTATAAAAAAACACCCGGACCTTGTGGATATATATGAATAAAGTAACTAGGGCTTATTTCATAAGGACAACGGCATGATAGATTGCCACACAATAACACGCATCCCCATCACTAGTTGTTAAATTGATTTTGCTAACATTAGTATTGTCATCAATATACATCAACACCGCAGACGACCCAATGATAAAATCTGTCCCCTTATGAAGCTTTGGAGTCCGAAGAACCGACATGTTTAACAGGAAAGGCGGTGGTTCTGTCTTTTACTGCTATTAATCGGATGCATTTATGAATCTGTTTATTTTTGGTCCGCTTTTGCTGTTGAGTTGCAGCGTCTGGCGGCCGCGTCGTGTTCAGTCGTGACGTTTTTTTGATTACCGAAACAACTTTTCTGAACTGCCTTGAAACTCACAAACTTTGTGGACGCAATGCAAATGCATATGCTAAGGATAATATCCCTATTTGGTAATGGCTTAAGCTCAGCTCTTTTCCGGATCATTATATGATAATGATTATTAATCTTTCCTGCGGGGATAACAGGATGTGTTGAAAGCAGCAGGTCGCCGCGCTCACTTGCACGGAGGTTAAACCGGTACAACCTGAAGGGGGTTTTAACACCCACTGTGGGGCTAAATGGGAAAAAGCCCCGCTATCCAACACCTACTGCCGGCCCCCGGATCATTTAAAGCCAGCCCTGCGGAAGCTGCTGCTTTAGGCTGCTTGCCTTCTGGGAGCGGCAAATACTCGTCATAGGAAGCCTGTTCTTTTTTTTTTTTTAAATCGTTCTTGCACTTTATTTATTTATTTAAAGTCCGTTTTCTCCGTGCAACTGGAGCGAAACCCCCTTTTAAAGAACTCTGGAGTGCATCGTCCGATTCCTATCTTCCGGCATGAGGTTCAAGAGGAACGGTTCCTATACCTTAAATAGGTAAGGTCTCCCATGGGTTGCTGCTATGCTGATGGAGAGATTATCGTGTGCAATGTTGGGTGACGGGTGACGGGGTTCGGGGGGGGGCGGTTTCCCGCCTGGCCTTTTTGTTTGGCTAAACGGCATAAACATTTATCATGGCTGATTTACGTACCGAAAGCGTGTTGATGCGTATTTATGCTCCTCTCACACGATCTTACCATCTCCGCCGCATCCCGGGACATTCGGACGAACGAGGGCTTGCTGGCGTTTTCCGACCCCCGATTCACATCGATAATTAAAATCACAGCTCCGTTCGTGATTGAGACGCGAATACGTGGTGCAAAATGTTTTAAATGATCTGCGTCTTTTTTTTTTTTTTTTTTTAAAAAATTGATTTAACTATTACTTTGGCGATATGATCACCCCCGTTAAAAGTTTGCACCATGCGCCAAGAACCGTGCTTCCTCGAACCACAGCAAATTCGGCCAAAAGTTAGTCGTTTGCCCGTCGATACTAATACTACTTTGCGTTATTTAATGTACCCGATTGTGTTGGGTAAATGAGACGTAAACTACTCGTTTATCTTGTTTGGGGGATTTAAGGGAGGGGGGGGAACCTGTAGATCCGGCCGGGGCTGCAGTGTTTTGTTACCAGCTGTACCAAGATGGAAATGGGAGCGAGCATCTTCCAGGAGGGACACCCAGTTCGGTCACTGTACATAATATAAAGGTGTAATCTATCTTGTTACTCTTGTAGTGTGTTAGTTGTGGGGTCAACAGGTGGTTCTTGCGACGAAAAGTTAGTATAGTTTCAGACCACAGGAGGGAAATCGCCCAATATATCTGGCTTATTTGAGTCTTTAGGTAGTCAGGCTTGTTGGACAAGATGAGGATGTCTAAGCAGGGGTGCATGTAACTGGTACGCAAGTGCGCATTCACCTTTAAAAGCCATGCGTGCGATTGTAACAAGGCAAATGCGTTCGTGTTATACGTGCATTCGCGCTGATATAAGAAATTACCGTGCATTTTCACCTTTATACCGCAAATGAAGTACGAATTAACATATGGAGGTTGAAATGCACGGTATTTTCTTGTCATATCATTTGCGCTGTTGTCGCACGTATGGCTTTTAAAGGTGAATACGTTCTTGTGTGCCAGTTACATGCATCCCCGTCTCTCACAGAGCACTGAGATCTCACCACCCAAGGCTAAAATGTTACGTGATGATCTGTTAGCTTTTCAGTGGCTTTGTTCATCCAGGATATGAAATGTCCTATTCCAGAGCTCATAATGGATTCTGAGCCTCTGTCTTGTACAGGTTCTCTTACACACATACACTTAGCGCACAGCTGCGAGGATGAATGTGACACGTTTTGCCCACAGGTGAGAACATTAGAACACGGCAGCCAAGAAAAAGAGCCTGAAAAAGCTTTTATGGATTTGCCGCGCGCTAACTGGCTCTCCCTGCAGTTTCTTTCCTAAAGACAACTTTGTGGGCTGATGCTGTGAGATCATGTACTGTTGAGTCTGACTGTGAGGTCTGTAGTTCTTATTGTGCTGGTGGGGTGTATAAGTGTCATAGTCACATAGTACTCAGCTGGTTGGTTGAAACAAAATCTTGGTCTGGATTTCTACTCCCGGACCTGAACTATCCACCTCTGGTTATTGGCTTGGATGCTGCTTGGTCACCAGTTTAAGCACGTGGTAATGTTTTCTGTCCTTAAATTAATGCCTCCCCAACATCTGTCCCTTTGCCTTTTTATATAGGGAATTCTGTTCCTGTGCTAAAAATGCTCAAGCAGGAGATTTTGCAAGTAATACATTCAACAAGGCCAGTAGCCATAATTGACTGTCCTCATTAGCTTTATCCCAAGTCTCCTAGTTTCTTGAAGGCGTCATATCGGCATCGGAGATTTCTGGCCCACTTCTCTTAATTTAACTTAAGGTGTTTTTGGGGTAAGGCGCCCCCCGGAGGAGGGAAGAAGGCATGCGTTCCTTTTCTCCAGGGGGAGGGATGTTTCCCTTTCAAGCTGCGGGAAGCTTGCTGAGCTCATTTCATGCGCTTCCTTCACTCTCACTCCTGAGTCCAGCCTCGTCGGTAGCTTCTGCTCGTTCATTTGCCAGCCTAATCTTCATCCCCGGTGGGAGCCAACGGCAGGAGGGAGGTTCGAGAGAGACAGAGAGGGAACTTTGTGTGTGTGTGTGTGTGTGTGAGAGAGAGAGAGAGAGAGAGAGTGCAGGAGTTAGAAAAAGCTGCAGACACACGAACAGTCAGTCATTGTGAGCTTGTTCCCTGGCCGCTGCCTCCCCATTGCCTGTTGCTGCCGTCCTCCGCGACTCGCCCCTAACCCACACCAAGGGCCACGCCGGCCCGTGTCCTGCCTGCTGGATCAACCTGCATCCCACTAAAGGAAGGCTTCCTTGGGAGACAGGGCCCTATAGCTCTGAGCCAAGATTGCCGCATGACCCGCCGCTGGAGACTAAAGAAGAAGAAGAGGAACGGAGGGGCGGAGGCAGGGGGTGTATGTGAAATTCTGCCCCCTGCTGCCCAAACGGTCATCTGCATGGGGGTTCTGGTTTGCTGTGACTGCTTCTTCTACAGGTACCGATGTACTTTTTTTTTTTTTCTTTCTTCAGTGCTTGTTTTTAATGATGAAGCTGATTTGCTGGCTTTTTTTGTTCCATATGAGGCTATTTTTTTCCCCCCATTTGAAGGAGTGCTTTGGATGCTTCTGTGGTTCTGCAGTTATCTGCTTTGGGGGAGGACTTCAAGGCTGCAGTGTGGTGCGTGCTGTCCCACTCAGGAGGGAGGCATGACACGGTGGTTTCGAAAATGGCATCCAGCCATGACTGTGTTCCTTTAAAAAGAACGTTCCCACCCCTTTCTGTTTTGGGTTGCAATGGGGAGACTTTTTTTTTTTTTTTTTTTTTTTGATTTGCAGACTCTGAAACAACTGCCTGCGGATGATGAAATGAGTGAATTCGTGGTGGTGTAAGAAACGCATGGGTTTGGCAGTAGACGGTTACTCGCCAAACCCTGCCAAACTCTAAAGGCTTCTCAGAGGTGGAGAGTTGAAATGCTGTCCTGTGATGATTGTTTTTTTTTTTTTTTTTTAGAAGATGACAAGTATTAGCAGATTCTGTATGTATGTTCTGTTCTTAGGCACATAGGCATAAATGTGTTTGAGTGTAAGAAGGAGTCGGAGATGTTTCGAAATGCATGTCAGTTTGGTGCAGTTTGAGGTTTGGGTCATCCCACCCAAACTGTGGCTCGCAGCTGCATTGGATCAGGCCGCTGAAGTCGCAGGATCCACGCTGCCTTTTTCACGCCTGCCTGCTTCCCTCTTTTTCTGTGTGGGGGGGAGACAGGCAGCCTTTTGTAGCCGGGGCTCGTTCACATTCATCGGCTGGTGTCGGAGCTTGAAAGCGAGCATTTCTGCTTTCGTCTCTTATGAGTGCAGCACTCTGCACAGAACCACGAGTGTCCCCGGTCCAACAAAAGGCAGTGTTTGCTGTGTCCGCGGGCTCTCTCTGCACGGGGGGGGGGTGTTGGGCATTGCTCATGATCTCGTGCCTGCAGTCTGCACCTGGGCTGATCCAGCATGGGGGAGGGATTCGATTGGGGTGAGCTGTGGACGATGGAGGCGCGTGTCTGTGAGCGGAGGGGGCAGTACTGCTAGGGTGAAGGTCACATTTTGATGCTTCGCTCTGGTTTCTATGAACACACCAATCCATGGGAATTTTTTGGTTCGCCAGTCGTGGGGAGCAGGGGGATGGAGATGCTGACAGGTGAGGACTAGTGTGGTTATACTGAAACATGCAAAGAACGAGTGATGAAAGCGGAATATGAAGTGATAGCTCATAGAGAGCGAACTTTGAAAACTTGAAGTGACAGCCAGGCGAATTTTGCTTTCTTTTCCCTTAAATTTTGTGCTCATATTTTGTGTGTGTGTGTGTGTGTGTGTGTGTGTGTGTGTGTGTGTGTGTGTGTGTGTTTTTATTGCATTACATTTCCTGAAATTTTGTGCAATTTGAACCGGACGTCACCTCAGATTCAGACTCCGGTGTGTAATGGTGGCACGCCTAGTGAGTTTGTATTGGTTGGAGTGCTTCCTGTAAGCAGCTGGCTCCTCCTCATCTGCGTTCCCCCCAAGGGACCGTTCCCTGCCTGATGATTGCCTGTTTGTTGCAGTTTTGGGCTTTGACTTGGGATCTTCCATGCTGGGAAGGTCTTTGATCAATGCTGTCTTAAACTCCCTCATCATGTATTGGACCTCTGGGTTGTTTCTCAATACCAAGATGGTACTTGTGTTCTTGGCAGGAACGTACTTGCTAGCTCGCCTCCCAGCAACAAATCTGGGTTGCAGTGAGTCGCAGGATTGATCTTGTTGGCAAAGGTGCGACTGATGCATCATTGATATTTGCGACCAGGGAGGAACGACATCCGGGGTTTTTTTTTTTTTACTGTCCTCCGTACTTATCATATCAGCGCGAATATCCGAATATTGGAACTGTACTTCGGTAATGGAAGATGACATCAAATGTCGTCAAATGGGCACGAGAGAACACAAGAATGGACCAGTACACATACTGAATAAACACCCCTGGCCTTCTGATAGTTGACACAGCCTCCTTTACGTACACCATCTGTGTTCTGAGGGAAAGGCACTTATAAGTGTGCCATTGTCCTTGAACCATGTGAGCACCAGGCAATATGAATAGATTGCTAAGCTATTGCCAAGTGTGGCTTTTTGCTGCCTTGGCTTCTGCCCCCAGTGAGCTTCAGTGATGCATCAAGTTCTAGAAGTTGCCCCAATCCACTTAAGTCGGACGTAACGCATGACAAAAAACTCTTTCTGGGCCCAAACACACCATAATGGTGGAACCAGTAACATTATTTATCGTAACTTCTTTCTTCGGCAAGGCATTCTGAAGTGTGAAAAGGAGGCTAAATTCTTTTCATTCAAGCAGAGTGAGTGTAGCTGTTCTCTCAGGAGGAATTATTGGCATATGGGTACCGGCTATGTACATTTTAATTTTGGTTCGCTTCTCACAAAGAAACAAATGAAAGCATTTCTTGATGCAGGCAGAATCTAAATTCACAAGTAGGTATTCAACGTGGAAAACCTTGTTAATTGTGGCTGTGAGTTCATTACAGCTAATCTGCTTACATCCAGTGATAATTAGCAGTTTGGGAACGTTCTGGTTTCCCGCTAAGTTACATCAACACTGGAGAGAGAGAGAGAGTGGCTAATAAAAACAAGACTGTCCATCACCTCTGTTATACCAAACTCGAGTATGTTGCTGAAAACGCGTCTCGCAGGGTAAATAGTTAGACGTCCAAGTATGTGAACAACCTGAGCAGAAGCGGTTGGTCTCCATGGCATTTAAGCAAACTCTGCTGCAAATAAGTGACCATACTTTATAGTAGGCAACACTGGCTTTAGTTCATTATGATTATGATGTTATATTTTTGATCCCTGTATATTTTTTTACAATATGCAAATAAGCAACTCATCCTTCAGACATGTCTACGGACACATTGACTTTGGTTTCCTAATTGTTTGCAGTTTTAATAATAATGCTAATCTCAGGGGGAAAAAACTTCTCTGCTGTAACCCGAATTGACTACTGAACTGTGAATTTTGTGACGAGTTAAAGCCCTAATACTAAACATGAGAGAAAATGGTGGTTTAGTTTGCGCAGTCCCTTTCCCTATGCTTAGTGGCGGTATTTGGATAGTTTGTTGTGTTTGTTTGTTTGTTTGTTAGTTAAAACACTGAGTCACCCAGCACTGCAGAATATTGGCATGTATCCGGGCCGGCTCCGGAAGTAGAATCGTCACGTGATTAAAAGGTCATGACTTAAGCGGATGGGTAAGCGGTTGGTCAGTTTGGTGCATTTCAGCATTACCATTTTTGTGATGAGCAAGGCCTGAGTGTTGGTGGAGGTACAGTACTGTGAAGTGAAAGTGACTTTCTGTACAACATGAGTTTTAGATAAAGCTCCTACTATAGAAGTAAAAGTGAATGGATTTGGGCTGGGTGAGTTCCATTGACGGTAAAGTGAATGTGTATGTTTCGACACCCCAAGTTTGACACGCCTGTTAAGCCATCATGCATAAGTTCATCTCAAGACGGTGCCTCAAAGTATGGGGGTGGGTTGTCTCTCGTTTTCAGGAGCGGCTTGTGTTCCGTCAGCTTCTGGTTTTGTTGCCTTAATGAGCTAATTGCTTGGATGGTAATTAGATTCATCTGGTATTTTATGTGTCAGCTGGGAGGTAATTAAAAATGTATTTTCTGAAAAGCCTACTGGGCTTGTGGGTTGGACAGTTCTAGTGAAAGCATCATGACTGAGGAGGCCTGAGGACTTAATCCCCCCCCCCCCCCGCCCCCTGTGATTTCAGAAATGGGAAATATAGCATTTCAGACTTTTTATTTAACAATACTCCACCCACTTCCTGACGTGGGATTTGCACAGTAATCCCTCTTTCTTTTGAAAGTCTGTGTATTTCACTCTTCCTTCCTTTTGCCCCTCCTCTTTTCTTGCTAATTGCATCTTAGTGTGGGGCTGCATTTCTACTCGGTCAGCCATTCCAGAGGATAAAAGGAAAACCTTAGTAGGATGAAACACAGACTCCTTGCATGGATTGGAGTGTCCTCCTCAGCCGGCTTGACTGTCACAGACGTACTGAGTGCTGGATGCTCACAGTTTAACGGACCGAAGTTCAGAAAGATCCCATTGGGATGGTTCTAGGCTGTGGTCTGCTGATTACATAGAGGTTAATCCCAGTATAAGATAAGGGGTTTTTCCTGTCTCTCACTTAGCGCTCGCATAAAAGCTGCTGTTTTTGCCTATGCATCAAACGGCGCAGTAGCTGTGAATTGGCACAGCCTTGGAGAGAGAGATTTTGCGAGTGAGAATAGGATGGAGAGAACAATGGAACAATGCAGTTTCTCTGTCCCCACCTGTCGTTTGCCTTCCGTGTGCTGCCTCTGGATGTGACCGCATCAGACTGGGGGATGGGAAGGTCCAACGGAAGCCACAAGTCACATGACCCCCCCCCCCCCAAAAAAAAAAAAAGTATGCATGTGTATTTCAGCCCCCAACTCCATTTCAAAATATGCACGATATACTAAATGCAGAATCTTCTAGAAAGCTAAATTTAGGTCTGGCTGCTTTACATGCCAGTCATCTGTCATTAAGTGGGTCCACAGTGGAACTTTCCATAAAAATTCCATCTTTTTGCTTTGACTCGTTACTTTGCTCCATGACGGAGACGCGTTTCACCTCCCCGCTGTACTCCTGCGTGCTGCGATGGCTTCCAGCCCAACCTGCCATTTTTATACCATTTTTGTGTGCCGTCGGAATCCTGTGCCACTGGAGAGCATGACTTTGGTCTGACTCCCCACACTTTCTGTCCAGCTACCCCCCCCCCCCCAATCTTGTACCCTCCCTCTGGTGACCATGATTGATGCGTCACTCTAAATACACGAGTCAGCTAGTGCTGCTTTCCCCATCATCCATAGTATGTCATCACAATGAGGGAAGCTTTAAATGAGGTGTTCTGCCCCCCCCCCCCCCCCTAATGATGACATATCT